TAGTGACGCAGAAAAACTGTTTGCAATTCAGTTTTCTGACCAACTTGGAATGAAGCAGAACTCAGTCATGAGTTCAGCTTTAGTCTAGGGGCATCTTAAATGACATCCACAATCATCCATGTTGAGCGGAACCGATGTCTGATTGTGTAAGGCTTGAATTAGTACAAGACTAGTGTTTTCAAGATACCTTGCACATCTTTCACTCAGTAGTGATTTCTGCATGAAAAGATGATTCTTATTTGTTTATCTAATAATACTGTCCATTCTGAAATAATTTTGTCGGCGTTCTCTCATCTACTGTACATCCAACCATCTTTTAAGGAACAACAAAATTTGATATAAATTGAGATAAAAGGCCATTTGAAAAGCTAACTAGTATACAGTTTGTTCAAAAAGTGCTCTTTCCAGTTTGATCATAATTTCAAGTATAAAAGATGAAAGACATCTCCACTGTTAATAGTTTCTGAGATAGCTAATTCATTTTAGGTCCGATCAAGTGCTCTTTTATTTATTGTTATTATTTGTCCCTTGAGTTCCTAATGGAGCAGAACATTCCCATTCCACTCTCTTCACTGCACTCTTTAGAACCTCGCTCCAAAACTGCCCACAATCTCTCATTTATTCCTCACAACTACTCTTCCATGTCACCCTCAGCTAGGACACCTAACTTGTCGCTTCCCATCTGGGTTCCACTCGAGTGCCTGGCTTGGTGGGTGATGTCCCCGAATGAACTTCTCAGTGCATGCCTGATCAATCTGCACTTTCTTCTGCATATCTGTTGAGCGATAAGTTCCTGATTGGTTCGTTGCTTGCCAGCCAGCCAGAGTTCCTTGTTACTCATTCCTTCTGGCCATCTGATCTTCAGTAACGAGAGTAGGCAACTGTTGATGAATACCTGTAGTTTCTTAGAAATGACTTTCGTAACGTGCCAAGTCTCTGAGCCATATAGAAGCACTGACTTGACGTTGGCGTTAAAAATCCGGATGTTGTTCACGCTTTATGCTGAGTGGAGTTCAGAAGATCTCCACACTGGTTTCAGTCTGATGAACGCTTATCTTGCTCTTCCAATCCTGGCTGCTTTGACATCCTCATCTGTGCATGTGCCGCCTGTAGTTGAAACAGTGCTGCCTCGCTAGATAGGTGAAGGAGGCTACTTTCTTTAAGTTTCTCCCAATGATGTTGATTGGAGCTTGTTGTTGTTGCTGTTGTTGTTGGTTGAGTATCTTCATCACCTCTGTCTTCTCTGCATTCACTTGAATTTCTGTCTTCGCTGCCCTGACTCTTCTGTCAACTTGTTAGTTTTCGCCTAAAGATCTTCAAGTTTGTGTGACATCAAACACAGGCCATCGACGAAATCCAAATCTTCTAGGATATTTTCATTGACCAGCCAGCATATCCCCTTCTTCTCGCTCCTCACTGTTTGTTGCATGATCCAGTCCAGTCCAATACAATCAGGAAAATCATGCGTGATAGTGGATAGCCTTGATTTACTCCTGTATTCACTTCGAAGGCATCATTGAGCTTCCCATATAGTTGTTGAATGAGATTGATAGAGGTTTGTGGTAATGTGTAGTGTTGAAGCACCTGCCTGCCAAATTACTTGTCGATCGACGGTCAAAGGCCTTTTCAAAGTCGATGAACTGAGGTAGAGAGTTGACTGAGATCAAGTGCTTAAGTGTTTTTTTCACCGTTATAACACTTCTAGATGGATTACTTGCTAAAAATATAGTCATCCCCACTGTCAGCCACCAAATAAATGTGGACGATTTAAAAACATTAAGAAACATTTTGTATCTTCTGAAGATAAATAGGTGTACTTTTTCCGTTTCCGCCTATATTTGCCTTTTAGCATTCTGAAAGTAGTTATGTATGTTCTTCAGTCTCTTCCACAAATCATGAAGCCCTGGTAGCGAATATTCATTTGTAGGGCTTTAGCAGTATAATAAACGGTTACCTACGAAATGTCACATTAAATACAATCATTGTAATTTCATACACTAGTAAAATAATGGCCATTTCATTAGCAATATGGAAGTTTATCGATTTTGATTTGACCATCTAAAGTAGCCGTAGTTTGGCAGACTAGTATTTGTACTGAATGATGATTGAAGGTGAGATGAAAATCTTGACCGCGGCCGGATTCGAACCAGTGACCACCGGGTATTTGATTAAATATGCACTAAGTATTAAATACTAGACCACTAAATTGTTAACCAAATGCAGGCTGATTCATATAATCGCCGCTGTCTTAAAAAGAGTTAGTTACAACGTCAATGGCTTAGTCTTAAAGTCTATGGCTTCATCACTGAATGCTGAAGGTTAAGATATACGCGAGGACGTCAGTTTCCTTATAGCTACAGATATGTTTTACTGATAAGTAGGTGTGTAGCACTGCTTTCTACCAATTAACTTCCGACACATGTCATAAGTCAAAATTCCTAGGTATATCAATCTACTGAAATTCCTAGCTGATAGTGCAACACAAGCAATTCAAGAAATCCATAAACAGAGCCATTTAGATATTATCCAACGCCGTTTTAGAACTTATCCTAATGTAGAATGGAACTTCCATGATACATCGTCCGTAGACTTAGACGCCATCTAAATGAATACTGGATACTACTGAATATACTTTGAAGGCTTACTGTCGTTATCTTTCAACAAGCTAGTATGCTAGGAACAGATCCTTCACTTTGTCGCCAGAATACTAGCAAGTAACGTGAAAATATCAACAACGAAAAACTAAAATTTAAATCTCTGAACAATTTTTTTTTCAGTCAAGTGAGTAGAATTTTGGCTCTATTACCTAAAATATAATTGACTTGGTTTTAACTGCTTGAAACTTTACAGAAAACTCTTCAAGGACTTAACTAATCCATGTGAATTCATTCATATCTTCTTGAATAACAGTTCATAGGTCAGTTTTCTTGAATGTCAATAGTTGACTAAATAATAAAATTGTATTCCTAGTGCACTAGGAATTTTATGCGGTAAATTTAATGGAATGCCAAACAACAACTGAAAGATACCTATGAATTTGTCAGAAAGATTGAGGATCTGGGAGTAAATAACAATTAATGGTTTTGTGTGATGGTTCATCTCTTTTACTAACGTTTCTTAAATAGAGACAGTAGACTTTATTTACAACGAACTCACAAAGCACGGCATAGAAATAGGTATTCCAGTCTCCATACTGAAAGAACGATGAATGCACAGTTTCTTTTCAACAATCAACTCTACCGGCAACCTGATGGTGTTGCCATGAGGTCACCCCTTGGCCCACTCTCAGCAGATTTCTTCCTGGCAAAACTTGTGAATGGTCCACTGAACGATACTATTAGCCATTTAGAGTTATATTATCGTTACATGGATGGTACCGTTATGGTTCTCGAAAGTGCGACTGATAAGAATGCTGTTGTGAATAAGTTCAATAGTGCTCACCTGGCAATCAACTTCACAATGGAAGAGGAGAAAAACAATAGTATCACATTTCTTGATGTTCTGTTGGTAAGAAGGTCAGATGGAACCCTGAAGCGAAGGGCTTATAGAAAGCCAACATCAAGAGGTCAGTATACGCACTTCTTCAGTGCTGTACTCCTGCAATATAAAAGGAAGCTAGTGAAATACCTAGCATACCGTGCATCAGCTATTTGCTCAGAGGATGCTATGGAGGAAGAGTGTGACATCATCCATGATCTGCTTAGTAGGAATGTCTACCCAGACAAGTTTGTAACTAAGCACATGAATATTTCGAGCGTCAAGATAACAATGCCAACAGTTCCTAAGAAGCAAATCTTCTTGAAGCTGCAATTTAAGAGTGATATTGCCAGTGAGGTCATCACACAATGCATAAAACGAGTCTTGCATAAAGCATTCCTAGCCGCTAAATTATATCCCGCCTTCTACAACCGCCCGATTCCAGGTGCAAGAAATAAAGACAAACTGCCTGATTCTGCCACTCCCATGTGCATTTATCAATTCAACTGCTCCTGTGGAGAGAGTAACATTGGACGTACAATCAGGCAGTTCCATCGTCGAATTTCTGAGCACCACCCATCATGGTTGAACAGGGCACAAATCAGAACTATAAACAGCTCCATACTTGCACACTTAGTTGACACAGGACATCAAGTGGTTACTGGAAAAGCCTTCAAAATCATTTATCACATTTATTCCAATTAATTTACCTCATGGATTATGCACTCGGTTACTTCACATGGAGGAGGCGATTGCAATCCAACTTCACAAATCTAGCCTTTGTCTCCAAAAGAAGTTTGTTCGATCACTTTCATTACCGTGACTGTCAATATGATGTAACTTCTAGGTTTACTCTGTACACCTCTTCCCCTTCTTGTTTCTATCAAGATTCATAATTCCTATTTTAGTAACCCTATTGATTATTTACATCATTATTTCCGATACATCACCACGTGATTGGTAATTTGAATAAATTGTAAACCCCCTATATTTTAGTGTAGAGCCCAAGATGAAGACCTAATTGGAAAGAAATATATCTCTTTGCTCAATCAGTCTTTTTCTAAACAACGGAAAAATTATTTTAGAAACGCGTCATGCAGAAGGGTTGACATTTGCCGACTTTAAATGACTGAACCATTTCGGTATCACGTGCTGTGCACACAAAGAAAGGTGTCCGATATCAGCTTTAAGGGTTGCATAATCTATACTGCTACTTCAAACTCTAGGCTTCATTTAAACGATCAGTGTCAAGATCCTGGTGATGTATGGTTGAATATCATTTCACGACACTCTCTAGTTAATCAAAGCTATTAGTCTCAAATAAGATGTTGAAAGGGTTCACAGAAAGGGATAGTTGTCAATGCGTTAATAACCTAACAACCTTGAATAGTCAATGCCATCTATATACAACACAGTATAAGTGACGTCTGCAAATAAACTTGACCAAAGAAGTAATATTTAATGAAATGTTATGGCATCCACAATGGGTCAAAGAAAATACAATTTTCACCCCAGAAACTTACAATTCCGAGAGTTTATTTCGTCTTTGTAATCATTTAACTCTTCAAGACTGATAGCAGTTCGTTTCAGTGATGAAAATGATTGTGTTATCTCTGTCTCAGGCAGTTTACTCTGACAGTGAAGATTGTTAGCCACTGACTTTGAAAATATTTGATCTGACATAGGAATTTGGTGGTTTTGTTGTTTCTCATCACTACTTTGTAAGTGAGTTTTGTTACTGACCTGATTATTCGGTGCTGTATCCGGAAATGACCGATGATCTTCGTCTTCATTGTTATCATCCCTCATAGTGTAGTTTTGTAAAACAAATCCTCCATGGAAGCCAGGAAAGGCTGAATTAACACCCAAAGCAGGTGAGTCGAATAAGCGACCACTCTCACCACCACAACCACCAGTGAATGTTGGCAGCAGTCTAAATGTATGCGTTGGTGATGTATGACACATTGAAGTGGGTGTTTGCATAAGCCTTCGTTGACTTTCATGATTAGAGATGGGAGACTTACACAAAGTGGTTGTCGGTGACCAACAAGCATTAGGGTTAACAATACACCCTCTGGAACGACTTACACCTGTATTGTAAATAGTTGGATAGTTGTATGGCGTTGCACAAGCCATTGGAGATGTTGAACCACGAACCCAAGGGGCCGTAACTACCTGTATTGTTTTAATGAGAATGCGATACATTTTGTTTTAGTGAATAATAAAGCAAAAAGTATTCATATCGTTAGCCTTTGCGGCAAACAACACAGAAAACACTACAGTACATCACCCATATTTCAATACAATTTGCAAAGTTTAGCAATAGTGGCAATAGGGCAGAAAAGAGTAGTAATAAAACACCCGAAATAGAAAAGAAGAAAGACGAGAGTAATGAAGTTACAGGATTCTTAAGAAACACTTTGACTGCTGAAGTCACCTTCGAGGACCATCACCTGAATTTTCAACCGGTTGAACTGAAAACCTTATTCAGACATGCAGTTTGAATTTCGAGAGATCACAAAAGCTAATTAACAAGTCTTCTGTCTTGTTTTAGTGTACTTCCAACCTAGAGCTAGTAGCGAAGATTCTTAGTGCAGAAATTGAATCATAATTCTTCAGTGTTCCTTAAGTTTTAAGGTTTGTTCTCAAATTTATCATTTGCAGGCTAGGTGGCTGCATCGGTAACTACATCCTCTTCGTGAAATCGCCTATCCTGACGATGAAACGTCTAGGACTATACCTCAGAGTTCGGAGAACACCAAACAAATATCACATATAGCTCTTTTTCAGCCTTATCTCACTGGAATTAACATAGTCAACTCACATGCATTAGTGAAGCGAGGCATGGTATACCTTAATGACGATGCACAATACAATACTTCTTATCAAACCGTAAAATTACAAAGGGAGTAAGAGAGAAATAAAAAGTACTACAGTCGTCAGCAGTAAAACGCCTTAGGACTGAAACCGTAGGTAAGCAAAACTATGACATACAATGCTAGGTTCAAAGTCGGAGCGTCCTCACTCCTCGAATCAACTTCAAACCATGTCATATACAATTCCCAACCATTGGTTTTGTTTTTCCTGTAGGCTTCAACCAGCAGACATAGCTCGTCAATGTAGACAGTAGTTCGCATTCATAACACATCAAAGAAGCAGATCAATATCAAAATGTATTAAGCCGGTCTTAATTTCAAGCTTTTCTTATCATCGTATCCTGAACATCTCATTCTTCTTATTATCTTAACCTGCATCACCGATATTCATGACAGAAATCTAAATAAATATCAGAGGCGAAACTGAGCGATGTCACGAAGGAGTATTTCAGTCAGTTTGATGTAAAGAAGACAGATTCCTACTTGAAATAAGAAAGTCCATAATTATTCAGTCAGTTGGAAAACTGAACAATCCACGGTATTGGGGACAACTAAGTTAGAGACTTTTTCATAGGATTAAAAATCGTGCTCCCTAGGTAGTGAGTGATTTGTATAGTAAACCTGGTGGTATGTCCTGAGGGTAAGTCCATCACATGGCAAGGTTCTCATAAAGTGTGCAGGATTCTCCAATGAGATGGACATGCTCTACTGCCGACTCCAAATAATAGCTATACTTATATTTAGAAATCTGAATTGATCGCTGAAAATCGTCAAAGCGATGTCTTCAGCCTTTACGAAAAAGTAATTCGCTTATTGAATCAGCCATTCATAAATCAGTGGTCACCTTTTTTAAAAGTGTATCATAAGTGAACGTGATGACAGAATATTTTCTATTCCCTTCCGATGAAATGACTAATTTGACAGGGAACTCTGCAGCACTTTGGTCTCGTGTTTGTCTGTGTGCACCAGTATGACCTATTTGATAACATGAGGATACTGATACTCCATAGATAATATGAACACTCATTACACATTACAGAAGTCAGCGAGTTCACCAGTTGGCTAGTCAGAATATGAGCAATCCTTTGTTTGACTGAATAGAGTATATACATCGGTCACCAATGGATATTGTAACACTGTGGTACATCATTTTTTAGTGTTAGACGTTGGCAGTCAGTCAGTAGGACATGATGGACACAGTAGCATGGTGTTTAAGTTTGTGACTTCAACACTGTATGAAGCATGTTTGAATCACTCAAAGAATACCAATTCCCTTACAACTGCAGAAACAATTTGCTTATGATTACCAATAAGCGTGAAACTCCGGAGTAGCAAGCTTGCTTGTTAGTTTTCTCTCATCATCGACCACGAACATGCTGCATCACTAAGGTTAGTGGTCGTATGACAAACCCGATCGATAGATTTCTATCAGTGCTAAGCAAGAAAGAACAGATAATTTCATTGATTATGCACTGACCAATATATTTAGCCATTAGGTGAACATAAGGAACTCATTTAAGCACCCTGACTAATCGAGAGTAGCTTATCTAATTGTATCAAAAATGACCTTGACGTTCCATCAAAAGGTTTCTCAAGCAATTTCACCTTTGGTTACCATATATTTTAAGGGTGAATCTTTTTTATATTTTCTCCTATATCAATCATATGAAATTCTATAAACAGGTGCCAGCTCTTGGAAAAATGGTCTTGTAATGTTTTCGAAATAGACTCAGGAATAATTGGTTGGATTCAGAAATGTAAGCAACCCCAACTGACTGATTGATTTCATGAGCTGAAATTCTGATCACCTGTTAACACTATGAGTTAATCAGGATATCCAGATACCATCAGTAATTCAATATAAGGTTATATTGATAACATTCTCTCACCAAGAAAAAACGTGGTTGGTTGTATTGTGTTTTCTTAGCTGGACGTTTCAGTAGTGAAGCTTTCATCAACTTTCTTCTGGATGATATCATCAGTAAAAACTTCAGTATGAAGTGAGCCACTCAATATCTCTCCGTCAGTGATTGAGTAGCTTGTTCTGAAGGTGTGGTCTGTGATCGGTTATTTCCTTCGATTCTTGTCTCATTGACGCCACAGATTTTCCTGTTGACTCCTCCTCTACCTGACCTCTCAACTTTCTGTCCCATGTCATCTCTCTCACTGGTTGATGGATTGAGTCTATGTCCACACATCTATTCACTGCTGACTGACTCACCTGAATGACAAGCTTCTAGGAATTCTCTGATAGATCTCGTTGTTCCTCTCTCACTCCAAAATTTCTACATTGTCAAAATTCAATTCATGTACATAATTGTTATCCACATGCATTGAAATGAGTGATGAAATGTCATGTACTCACGTAGATGAAGGCGAAGAGGGAGACCACTTCGTCCAATGAAGTGTTGATTACGGTTATTCCAGTTGATTTTGTAAATGATGTTCAGTTTTGTCTTCTTGGCTTGTTGCATCCTCTGGTCTGCATAATAGTGTTTACAGGGATTTTGTTGGTGTATGAGCCACACCAATTCCACATGGTCTCAGCAATCTTGTTGTCATTTGTGACATATTTTTTATGTATGGTAGGACGATGTGTTTGTTGATTTGTGTTGATGACTTTGTAGTTGGTGATGCAGGGGATAGGCATCTCCTGATAACGTTTTGTGAGTAGCCGTTCTTCTTCTTCAGGGTGGACATTGAATAATTTTGTTCATTTCTCCGTGAAGTTGTTGTGCTGCAGTGTGTTCTCGCTCTCTTTTGAATAGAGTCTGCAGGCAACTGATCTTGTGGGTTATTGGGTTGTTGCTATTGTAGTTGGCTTTCTGTACACTTGAGTGTTTATTTTTCTGGCATTTGTCTCACTGACTAAAACATCGAGGAATGGTAGTTTGTTGCTTGACTCTTTCTCCATTTTGGATTAGATGTCATTGAAAAGGTTATTGATCAAATTGTGAATGTTTTCCATATCATCTTCTTTAATGATGACAAAAGTATCGTGAACATAGCGAATCCAAAAATGTTGATGACTCACGTAGAGATATTGACAGCTTACTTCATACTGAAGTTATTGCTGCTGATGTTGTTTAGGAGAAAGACGATTACAGCTGCATGATTAACCACCCAGCTCACAGAACATAATATAACCATGACCATACACTTGAGCTTTAAATATTCTTCACCATTTCAAAATTATGAGCTACGTTGCATCAACTTATTAGATATTCACATATATGGAATATGTTCAGCATACTGTAGTATTACAACAGTTTAATTATCTGTCAAATGACTACTGTTTAATCTGTTGAATGTGGATGAAATCAGTTGGTTAGGTACCGATCACATCATCACAGTTTCTTTCAAAAACGAGATTACTGCATTGTTTTGAGAATATAATTTGATGGTTCAACAAAAATCACCTTATGGACAGACTTTCAGCTTGATTAGCTGGTGTGTAATTCATTGATTATCACTCAAAGAAGTATTAGAAACTGAGAGGAAGTAGATATCGGTTTCATGGAGGTTCGAGACTCATCAGCTTTGGACATTCACAACGTCGTGAAGAAATCAAGCTCGGAGCTTCAATAAGAAATCAAAATGTAAGACGTTAGCCATGTCGGATGTGAAAATGGTCATGGCATATCTCCAGCGATAAAATATAAAGAGAAGAGAGTTACTGAATCCTAGCTGACTTACTTAATGGCAATGCTCTCGTTATCAGACCAGATAGTTCTAGATACAATTTCTTTATGGGGTCATAAGTGCTAAACGAGAATGAACTATCTATTCAGTACTCCCACGCTTTCAATAGCTTTTTCATTGGCTTGAATATATTATTATTATTATTTATTTTTTGGGTTCCTAATGGAACATAAGGCTTCAGTAGCACGTCTTCATTCCAATCTGTTCTCTGAAATCTTTTGAACCTGGCTCCTTGACAGCCCACAAGCTATCATTTCCTCCTCGTACGATCTCCTCCATATCACCCTCAGTTAAGAGGCACAACTCATCTCTTTCAATCGAGCTTCCACTCGAGTACCTGGCCTGACACGTGATGTCCCTGGTCGGCCGTCTCAGTGCATGCACAATCAATCTCCACTTCCTTCCACTGCATATTTCCTAAGCCATAGCTTCTTGCTTGGTTCGTTACCAGAGTTCCCTGTTGCCTATACTTTCTGGACATCTGAGCTTCAGTAACGAGCCAGCGTAGGCGGTTGTTGATGGATGTCTGTAGTTTGTTGGAAATTCCTTTCGTAACGTGCCAAGTCTCTGAGCCGTACAGAAGCATTGACTTGAGTGACATGAGTGTTGAAAATCCGGATCATGTTCACGCTTTATGCTGAGTGGAGTTCAGAAGATGTCCACATTGGTTTCAGATTGATGAACACCTGTCTTGCTGTCTTTCCGATCCTGACTGCTTTGACGTCCTCATCTATGCCACAGCCGTCTGTAGTTGAAACGATGCTGCCTCGCTAGATAGGTGACAGAGACTCCTTCCTTTAAGTTTCTTCGTTGATAATGATTGGAGTTTGTGGTTGGTGGTGGTGATGGTATTGGTTGGACAATTTCATCAGCTTCATCTTCTCTACCTTCACTTGAAGTTTCATCTTTGCTTCCTGGCTATTAACTTGTTGGTTTTCGTCTGTAGATCTTCAAGTTTGTGTGACATCAAACACAAGCCATCGACGAAATCCAAATCTTCTGGGATATTTTCATTAACCAACCAGCATATCCCCTTCTTCTCGCTCCTCACTGTTTGTTGCAAGCTCCAGTTCAGTCCACTACAATCAGGAAAATCATGCGTGGTAGTAGATAGCCTTGTTTTACTCCTGTCTTCACTTCACTTCAAAGGCATCACTGAGCTTCCGATTATGAATTACTTGGCATATGGCGTCTTCATATAGTTGTTGAATGAGATTGATAGAGGTTTGTGGTATTGTGTAGTGTTGAAGCACCTGCCTGCCAAATTACTTGTCGATCGACGGTCAAAGGCCTTTTCAAAGTCGATGAAGTTGAGTTGAAGATCCAGTTGACTGCTATTCTATGCTCTGTTCTATGATGATGCGTAGTGTAGCGTTACAATTTGGTCCGCACATGATTTGTACTTTTTGAAGGCAGCTAGCCTGTTTCGGTTTTAGTTTTGAATCCAGCGCATCCTTCAATCTCTGCAGGATGATGCGGCATAATATTTTGCTTAGAGTGAATAGGAGCATGATTCCGCGCCAGTCCTTGCAAAGACTTAAGTCACCCTTCTTTGGGAGTTTGACAAGATAGCCGTTCTTCCAATCACCAGGTACCTTTCCTTCCTTCCAGACCTTTTGCAGTAATGGTGTGAGCGATTCCTCTGTTGTCTCTGAGTCTGAATATATTATTAAGACTTGTATAACATATGATATATTTATGTATATATCAAATATTAAAACTTACTTCACCGAAAAATCCGTTATAACCATTCAAATTGTTTTGACTTTGACTCAGTGGTTTACCTAACAAAGTGGAAAAAAAAAATAAAACCCTGAAATTAGGCAACAAAAGAAATAGAGTTTATATGAAAAAAATCATTTGATTGTTTCATGATGATCACGATGATGATCATATCAAGGTCATTAACATTATACATCATAAACATATGCAGTGAAAATTTCTTTTTTGAAAAGATTCCAGAAATTGTTTTATTTGAAGATAGAAAATCAACTCCAAAATGTTTATAAAGTGAGTTAAGTGGCCTTAATCTTACTTTTTCAAAGGCTTAGAGTTGATAGAGATATTGATGATAAGAAATGTGTGATGTTGAAAGGAAACAATGAGTAGCTACTAAAAATAATCCACTTATGAACTTATGAAATAGTGTCAACATGTTTATATTGGTTATTGGCGAGAATGTTGCTAATGTGCATCGATCCATTTATAATGACAGATAATGGACTGAAGAATTTTTGCTTATCATTAAAATTTCTCATTATAATTCAAAGCCATTTGAGTAAACAAAGAACATTCTTTACGATGAATTCTTCATCTTCAGGTCCTATAATTTTATATAAATATTGAGTAATTATACATCAGCAATATAAACATTCAGCTTATCAGTCTGGTAATGAGGTTGTACAGTTAGTTCAGCAGGTTAATTCAGAAACGTCGTATGTGAACGTTAACAATAGAATCAATTATCACCTGAATTCAGTTCAAAGTAATTGACTGTGTAAACGATTGTACGCGGTTCAAAACTTTTGCTATGAAGTGATTGTTTAACAAAACAGTCATTATCATTTTTATTACATGTCCCTTGAGTTCCTAGTGGAACAGAGAGTTTCAATAGCAAAGCACTATTTCACTCTCTTCTCTGCAGTCTTTTCAACCTCGCTCCACCACTAACCACAAACTTCCATTTCTTCTTCCATCTTCGTACACTAATCTCGTCGTTTCACATTTGTCACTAAACCGTCTTCTCAGTGTTTATCCAATCAATCTCCACTTTCTTCTTCTGCTTATTTGTTCAGCGGTGGGTTATTGGTTGGTTCAGTGTCAGTCAACCGGAGTTCCTTGTTGCTCATTCTTATTATTCTGACCATCTGACCTCATCTTCACTACCAACTGAGCAAGCGCAGACGACAGCTGTTCATCATGTATGTGTACCCTTTGTTCAAAATACTTTTCTCAAAGCACCGACAAATCCCTCAACCATCAAATGGAAGCACTGACTTGATTGACACTAGTGTTGAAAATCCGGATCTTGTTCATGCTTCATGCTGAGTGCAGTCGAGTGGAGTAGATCTCCACACTGATTATTTCAGATTAATGAAGGTGTGTCTTACTGCCTTTCCGATCCTGGCTTTGATGTCTTCATCTGTGCCTGTGTCGCTTGTAGTTGAAAGGATGCTGCTCAGGAAGGTAGGTAGGTGAAAGAGACAACTTCGTTTAGATTTCTCATGTTGATGGTGATTGTTGCTTGTTGTAATTATTGTTGGTTGTATATCTTCATCATTTGTGTCTTCTCTACGTTCACTTGAAGGGAGTGAGGTCATCGCTGTCTCGCCTCTTTTGTCAACTTGTTAGGTTTTGCCTGTGGATCTCCGAGTTTTTGCGACATCATACATAAATCATCATAGCTTACGAAATTCAAATCTTCTGTAATCTATGAATAAAATAATTGGAAGGTGTTTATGACGAATGGACGAAATAAACTACAAAGGAGAAAAGAGGTTAAGACAATTTATTCCAATTATTTGAGATTGCAATAAAAGATATTCTTTCAGCTAGCAGGAAATCGCTATACATTCCGGTGCAATTTACAAGTGACGTGCTCACAATGATATTAATTCAATAACTACTCAGATCACTTCACAGAACTTCGAATGTTGGTAGATTACAAATTTCATTTTCCATCCACAAAATTATGACATAGAGATAGAAAGATGAATTATCTAGACTCTCCACTTCCTTCCCATTGCATTTATCAGTTCAACAACTCCTGTGGGGAAAGTTATCTTGCACACTGCTCTAGCAATTGAATTCTCCGTACTCATCAACACCTTTCAGCATCATTAAGTAAAAATGTAGTAAAGATGATTACCACCTTCATGTTAGCATACCTGGCTAAAACGAACAATAAGGTGGATACGAATGAGTCATTTTCCATTCTGTACCCAGTTCCCATCAAATTGACAAAAGGCACCCGACTTAACATCTTTCGAACTGCACAAGCAATAACAGTCAGGCTCAAACAACATCAGTCATGTCTTCAAAGAAAGCATGTACTGCCTCTACAATTACCGTAGCCTGCCTGATACACAACCCACAAATTATTTAGCCTGTGCCTCAGATAATCTAATTCCATACCGTAGATACCCATTCTTCAATATCATCTAAACAAATCTAAACTAATTCTCTTTTCCTATGTAGTTTATTCCATCCAGCTCTGGTGGATACTTTCCTATTCTTTCATTAAACTATCACCTCATAACAATGCTTACCTACTTCGTACAATCGTTTAGACAGTTAATTACTTTGAACTGAATTCAGGTGATAATTGATTCTATAGTTAACGTTCACACAAGACTTTTCTGAATTAACCTGCTGAACTATACAACCTCATTACCAGACTGATAAGCTGAATGTTTATATTGTTGATGTATAATTCCTCAATATGTAAATAAAAGTGTAGGACCTGAAGAAGATGGAGAATTTATCACAAAGAATATTCTTCGTTCACCTAAATGGTTTCTGAATTTTGCTTTTGACACGATTTTCAAGTTATGAATTTTCATTTTCATGCTATAAGACGTATTGTTCACCACTGAAATACACTTAACGCACATAAATCTATCTATCTTAAATGAATTTCATTCAAATGAAGGTTTAGAGGGTATCTGCTGATTTCCAGGCAGTTTTATGTCAGGATGATGCAATCTGTAGAAGCACTGAGAAGACATGTAAATTGAATACCTTCATTCAGTTATGACATAGTTCAGCAATGCACATCCATCACCTAGCTATGTTTCCAGACCGGAACTGTCAATAGGTGTCTTTCCATATAATAGATCACTACAAGTTCTAACAGAAACGTTACGACCCTTGAAGTCAACCATGTCGTGAGTGGGTTAGGTGTTAATCAACAACATTGGATGATGGTTGCGCTAAGTCGCAAACTGATAGAAATGGGAAAGGTATACGGTCAAATTTGAACCAAGTAACTAAACGAATGAGTGCTCGCCTAGATACCATATGATCCTGAGTTCACTATTGACACAGAGTTTGGGTGCACATTGCCAAGGATTCCCAAAACGAAGCTAAAACAGCTGTGAAGTACTCTTAGTTTTTCAAAGTTATCTTTGTTAGACTCAACTATATGTTAACTGAAGACCAATGGGGGATTACTGCTTGAACATGATCTTTCTGAATATGTAGTTCAGATTCGATCAACCCTATAGCGATAGCCTCCTCTGTGTAGAACACGTGGTGGTGAACTAAACGTGGTATTTCATTGGAATGCAGTGTGTTATGTGGGAATTTTTATTGGTATCTATATGATCCCCAGTGTCTACTAGGTGGGCTGGAACTGTACGTTCCATTACTTTAACTTCACCTTTTCTAAATCAACCTAGTAAATGCTCTCGTATCTGAAGATGAACCTGCCTAATAGTAAGTCCTGTGTAACTTGTTCCAAGTGAATAGGTTAATTGATATATTCAAGATAAAGAGCTAAGATTAGGTAAGCTATCCTTTAGTCTCAGAATGAGTGTGGGCCAACTACTGAATGATATACAGAGCTGACCTGCAGAAAACGCCTTTTTGAATGATCTAGCTAGAGATTGTGATAGAATATCACCTAGAGCATCTCCTTTGAACTGTTAATTTCGAAATATTCAAAACCTGTCCAGCTCAGTTGTATTGAAATATTGAAAAAAAGAAAACAATTGAAAGCCTTTTACTTCAACGTAGCCTTCAAGTCAGATGATAATTAACATGTGCTCATACCAGTGGCATCTATTTTCAGACCGCAAAAAGATATAAACTGTGAATCAGTCCAAGCAGCCAATAAAGTTAAATGGTAGTCAAATATTTATTCACATTATTGCTTTATGTATGCAGACATGCCTATGAAATTGTCTGTTTTTCCCCCAGATTATATTAACTAAAATCTAAGCATATTATATTTCGTTGTGTATTCCATAGAAAGTAAATATTGTATTATAAAAACGGGTTGAACAAAAAAGAATCGATCAACCTGAAGATTGTTTATTCCCAAGAAACTGGTTCTATTCATTCACCTTGGCCTGGGAATGAGGATAATTAGACCAGTATAGTTTTTGAAACCATTTACTAGTATGGCCAGTTAATATTTAATCTGTACAGAATATTGTGACATGTGACTAGAGGTATTACAAGTTTCGAAATCCCTGAATGAAGGGTATGTTGAGTTTATACCGATAAACTACCAGTTATCTATTAAAGAAACTGTTAACACCATCTTTTGATGGCCTATTTAACAGAGGGATCCAGAATACAGCTCTGAACAACTTGAGTAGTTACAAAATCCTTAAGAGCTGAATTAGTCAAGATCAACTGAATCTGATCAGGTATGCCGCTAATGAGTTCATTCTCAAGCAAAATGTAATGACCATCCGATGTTTAGTTTACTCTGATCTGACTGCTGAAATTTAAAGATCACTTTGAATGGTTTCTGACTCATTATGTTGTTCACTAATGACATAAGTCGCTAGTTTAAGACACTTTTACATCAGAGATCATACCTTATGATCTTAAATGAATGGTTTCCGATGGAATCACTACTGACACCACAGTTTGACTACTCATTTGTGAGAAATTTCAGTGAGGACCACATAATTTGTAAATTATTTGCTAACTAATCCTCCCCATGATATTCCGTATTGTGGTGGACTGGATCATGCAGCAAACAGTAGGCAGCGAGAAGAGGGGGATACACTGGACTACGGAAAAGAACCTAGAAGACTTGGATTTCGCCGAT